AGGAACTGGCGAGGAGGGAGCTTCAGGTGCAGCAGGCACTTGGCAGAACGCGTGCCCTCGAGGAGCAGCTTCGTCAGAAGGACGAGGAGCTTGAGGCGGGAAGGCGGGACGCAGCTGAGAGGGAGCGCCAAGATCAGGCCAAGGCAGCGGAGGCCGCTGCGGCATGGAACGGGAAGGTGACCGCATTGGAGGGTGAAGTCGCGGCTTTAAGGCAGCAGGCGGGGACCGCTTCGACGAAGGGCGCAGGGTTGGAGGAGGCGCTTCGTGTTCGTGAGAGGGAGTGGGGGTTGGAGAGAGCTGCCGCGGCCTTTAGAGAGGCGGGGCTAGAGGACCGCATTGGGGTCTTTGAGCGGGACGCCCAAGCCATGGCGGATCGGATCGCAACCTTGGAGGGGGAGAATCAGCACCTACGGGACCAGGCCGCCCCTTCCAACCAGGCTCGCGAACTTTGGGTTTTTGCTGAGGCACAACGCGGTGTATATAAGAATTTGTGGGAGGCCGGTATCGTGACCGAGGCAGCATTCGAGGAAGCGCGTCAGAAGGCTCGTGAGGCCCGTACCGACTGTGGTTTTGACGCGGCGACGCTAGAGGTTGGCGATGGTGCAGATGACGGCGCGGATGGCGCCGAGTAGAAAGATTTGTTGTATTTTTTGTTTCGCTCGCCGCTTGGCGATTTGGGTGTTTCTTGTTTTTCTTCCCCCTTTTTTTTTATTTACTGGCCTTGGCCGGGTGTAAGCGGGGATGACCCGTCATTGACTTTGTAAATATATAAATTTTCTTTTATATTGCCTGCCTTGTGCTTGTTTTGTGTCTTTCCTTTTTCCCCCTTAGACTTTTCTTTTGTGCGTGTTCAAGGGGTGATTTGCTGAGTTTGACTCTGGTGGCATGTTAACTTCTGGTTATTAGCGGCCTTGCTTTTTCAACTCGGTGCGGGCGAGTCTTAGCCGTTATTTGGCGATAGCGGCGCTTAGCCTTAGTCCCAGTTCGGACGCGGTTGAACGACCGATCGTGATGGTAAAAAAAAACGCGGCCTCGTAGTTTGACCGGGGTAGAACTTTACGTGGTCCGAATCTTAATTCGAGTTGGGAGTACTTACTTGAATGGCGAGGGTGCCTATCCTGCGCTTCGATTCGTTGGAGGTCGGGCTTTGCTTTCACAGATGAAGGCGTTTGGCCCGAGTCTCGGTTCAACTGTGGTTGAACTTGCTAAAATTGAGGACGAAGGCGTCCATCCTTGTAGTTCGAGCGAGGTCGAGCTCGTTGGGATTTAATGGCGAAGGCACATATCCTGAGTCTTGGTTCAGCCGTGGTTGGACTTATTGGCGAAGGCACGTAGCCGGAGTTCCAGTTCGACTGTTGTTGGACTTTGTTAAATTCGATGGCGAAGGCACATAGCTTGAGTCCCGGCTCAACCGTAGTTGAACTTTTTTGGTGAAGGCGCATAGCCTGAGTCCCGGTTCAACCGTAGTTGAACTTTTTTGGTGAAGGCGCATAGCCTGAGTCCCGGTTCAACCGTAGTTGAACTTTTTTGGTGAAGGCGCATAGCCTGTCTTGGTTCAACCGTAGTTGAACTTGTTGGCGAAGGCGCATAGCCTGTCTTGGTTCAACCGTAGTTGAACTGTTTGGTGAAGGCGCATAGCCTGAGTCCCGGTTCAATCGTAGTTGAACTTTTTATGGTGAAGGCGCATAGCCTGTCTTGGTTCGTGGGTTTTTGGGAGCTGAAGCTCGGTTTTGATTCGAGATCTTGAGCGGCATAATCGTTATCTTCCCAACCGGGGTATGTAGGCTGTTTCGAAGCGATTCTCGATTTGAGATTCCTCCGTGCTGGTTTCCGGCTGGAGCCCTTATCAGGGATGTGCGAGATCTCTTACGAAGATTCTCCCCAAAAGAGGGGGGGGGGGGCTTCTTCTTCTTGTTTGCACCATCCGGTAGATGAGAGACAGAGGAACTGGATCTCGATTCGAGATCTTCGAGTTCCATCGGCCTGATATGCCGCTTTGGCTTGTTTAAGCTGGGTTGTTCTTCCTTTTCCGGTGTTTCTTTCCTTTTGGTCCATGGAAGAACTACGCGATTTTGCTATGAAATCCCCACAGACGGCGCCAAATTGTTTGCTCAAAAGTTATCATGCGCTTTATGAGTGCAAAACAATACAAATAAGTTACGGGAAAATCATAGCAAATCGTAATAATCCATTGGACCAAGCGAAGAACATGAAAATAAGTACTGAAGGTTAAGAGAAGAAATCTTAACAGCTTTTATTGACAATATTGGTTTGGTCTGCCTCTCCATGAAGAGGTTCAGAGCCTTACAATGGTATTTTCTCTTCCCATAAGATGGGTATATTTCTCTCTTCTCTCTCTCTTTTGTCAATAGTAGTGAAGAAGCAGCCCCCTTTCTAGGGCTTCCGCTCTTAGTATTTATAGATGTGAGCTTCGTGAGCTGGCAATAAATGGCCGTGGCCACGCTGAGGTCCCGTCCCCATGGGGGAATGAATGGGCCGTGCCCTCGTAGATTAAATCGGACAAGAGTCGAATCCTGTTATGAATAAGTGGCCATACCACTTATTAATTATGGATTAGCTCAAGACGAGATTAACTCCGTTAATTACCGTGAGATCGGATTCTGACCCATACAATTACATTTGAAACTTAAACCATAGTCTAAATCTTATTGTAAACGTTTTTCCAAACTGAATCTACTATCAAAGTTTATAGTAAGTTAATATTGGTGGGAGTCTCTCACACGGCCAGTGGCGGAGCCACATTGAACCAAGGGGTGTCAAACGACACCCCTTTGTCGGAAAATTACAGTATATTCTTAGATAAATTTTTTTATTTATGTATATTTACTATACGTTGATTCTGTTAAATCCACCATTATTGACTGGTGGTTAAGCTCAACTAAGAAGGAAGAAGATGAAGACTGTGAATGGAAGCTTCTGGATCAGTTGTAACTTCTGTGTATTGAGAGAAAAAACAAATCTGATTACAAGTGAAGTGAGTCTTCATTGATATATACACGTGTATATATATATATACAACTAACTATCTCCTTTTAATTACCACTAGCAACCATCCTAATTCTGTTATAACTAACTATTAACAGCTAACTATCAATAAGCTAAAGTTACTGCTTGTCACTTAACACATAGCCTTAGTTTACAGCTGTCATTGCAGCACTTCAACACCCCCCCTTCAAGCTAGATGGTGTGAAGATATTCAACAGCCCTAGCTTGGACAACAAATGATAGTGCTGCATACTTCCAAGCCCCATTGTCAAAATGTCTGCTTCTTGCTCTTCTGTTGGCACATACTCAGGATGTACCATTCCTTGTTGAACCTTTTCTCTTATGAAATGGCAGTCAACTTCTATGTGTTTTGTTCTTTCATGAAACACAGGATTGTTAGCTATCTGCATTGCTGCCTTACTGTCTGTAAACAGTTGAACTGGGGCATCAATATTGACTTCCAACTCCTTGAATAAACCTAGTAGCCATATAAGTTCAGCTACTGTCAGGGCCATGCTCCTGTACTCTGATTCTGCTGAGCTTCTTGCTACTGTGTTTTGTTTCTTCGACTTCCAAACTAACAAAGAGTTCCCCAGCTTCACCAAGTACCCTTTTATAGATTTTCTTGAATTTGGACAACTTGCCCAGTCTGCATCACAAAATGCTCTTAAGGCTGTGCTCTTTTCTGCACTCATCAACACTCCTAATCCTGGCTCATTTTTCACATACTTCACAATTCTGTAGGCTGCTTCAAGGTGTGACTTCTTAGGGGTTTGCATAAATTGGCTCAAAGTCTGCACACTATATGCTATGTCTGGCCTGGTTAGTGTCAAGTAAAGCAGCTTCCCAACCAATCTTTGGTACTCTCTTACATGTTCTAATGTTGTATCATCACTGAGTTCACAGTGCTCATCATATTCAGCAGTGGTAAGTTTCTTGTTCTGCTCCATTGGAGTTAAGGCAGTTTTGGAACCTGATAATCCTAACTCTGCAATCAGCTCCAAAGCATATTTTCTTTGGCAAAGCAAGATTCCCTGTTGTGACCTGCACACCTCTATTCCTAGGAAATATTTCAGAGTTCCTAGGTCCTTCATCTTAAAGCTATTTTGTAAGGTGTTCTTGGCTTGTTGAATGAGATCAGCATCATCACATGTAATGAGAAGGTCATCCACATACACAAGTATTATAACTTGTCTGTTGTGTTTCTTCAAGATAAATAAAGAATGATCATGTTTTCTTTGTTTGAAACCAGCTTGTAGGAGTGTATTAGTGAGCTTGGGGTTCCACTGTCTAGATGCTTGTTTGAGGCCATATAAGGATTTGAGTAGTCTACATCCTGTATGCCCCCTTTGGCTACCAAATCCAGGAGGTAGTTGCATGTATACTTCTTCCTCAAGGTCACCTTGGAGGAAGTCATTGTGAACATCCATCTGAAATAATGGCCATTGATTAATGGCTGCTAAGGCAATGACAGTCCTGATGGTTGTCATTTTAACCACAGGAGAGAATATTTCTTGATAGTCCAACCCCTCTTGTTGACTGTATCCTTTAGCAACTAATTTAGCTTTGTACCTCTCTATTGTTCCATCTGATCTATGCTTGATTTTGTATACCCACTTGCAACCAATAGGAACCTTTCCTTTAGGAATAGGAACCACCTCCCATGTGTTGTTGCTGACTAGTGCATCTATTTCAGCTTGCATAGCATCTATCCACTTCTGATCCTTCATTGACTGATGGTATGATGTAGTTCAACATCTGTTGTCATTGCAGTAAGGTAACTCTGATAAGCATTACTTAGTGTGTCATACCCCATGTAGTTGGACATAGGATATAGACAGGTAGAAGAAGAAGGTTTCATAGTTGGACATATGTAATCTTTGGTCCATACTGGTGGTTTGGACCCTCTGCTGGTTCTTCTGAGCTGCATATGTGATGTTTTCTCATGTGCTATTTCAGTGGTTTGGACCTCCTCGGCATCACTGCTAGATAATTCATCCAGCTGGGGGTATTGTAGCATCATGTTCAGCATGTAGTTGATCTAGTTCCCGATTAGGAGTTTGCATTTCCTGAGTAGAAGTATGTTGTTGTGGAGCTGCATGTTGTTCTGTTGCATAGTGTCTAGTTGCTTCAAAAAATAATGGAGGTACTTTTCCTTCTTTCATCACCAAGAATGGGAACACATCCTCTCCAAATGTAACATCTCTGCTGACAAAAAGTTCTTGTCCTTGAGACTGTATAATCTGTATCCCTTTTGAGATGTGGAATATCCCATATGAACTGCTGCTACTGCCCTAGGCAGAAGTTTATCATGCTGACTGGTAACTGTAGCAAAACAAAGACACCCAATGACCCTTTAGTGTAGTAGTGAAGGTGGTGATTTGTGAAAAACCTCATATGGTGATTTGCCACTTAGCACAGAAGATGACAGTCTATTTATCAGATACACAGCTGCTAGGATACAGTCTCCCCAGAAATGTAGTGGTATACCACCTTGGAACTTTAGTGCCCTTGCCACCTCTAAAATATGCCTATGTCTCCTTTCCACCACTCCATTTTTTTGTGGAGTGTGTGGGCAACTACTTTGATGAAGTATCCCATTATCTGATAAAAAGGTTGTACACTCAGAGCTAAAAAAACTCAGCTCCATTATCAGTTCTAAGGCATTTAACATTGTGGTTAAACTGCACATTCACCATCTTGATAAAAGACTTTAGAAGCACAAGTGTATCACTTTTCAATTTCATTAAGAACACCCAAATCATCTTAGAATGATCATTTACAAGTGTCAAAAAATATCTATTTCCATTAGAAGTAGGCACTTTGTAAGGTCCCCAGATATCTACATGCACTAACTGAAAAATTACTCCTGCTCTAGTTGTACTGAGGGGAAAAGGTTTCCTAGTTTGTCTTGCTAATGGACATATAGTGCATGTATTGAAGTTGCAATCTGTAGTCATCTTGTTCTTCATGAATGCCAGCTGCCTCATCACTTTGGCTGGTACATGTCCTAGCCTTCTGTGCCATACATTATTGTCTGATGTAGCATCTTCTGCCAAACAACCTCTAATCTGTTGTTTGAGCTTATTTGCACTTGATCCATCTGGTAACAGCAAGTAAAGGCCACCCTTTTCTTTATCAATCCCCCTCACTTTCCCAGTGCATAGGTCCTGGAATACACAGAATGATGGAAAGAAAAGTACTGAGCAAAACAACTCCTTAGTCAATTTTGAGACTGATAGTAAGTTGTATTTGAAGTCAGGCACACACAGAACATTCTGAATTGATTCACCACCTGTGATTTTACACTTTCCTTGGTACATAACTGGTACTATTTTACCATTTGGCAGATGAACATTACCTCCTTTGGTGTTAGGCAATTTAGTTATGTCAGTCAGCAAGTTAATGTTTGAAGTCATGTGTATTTGTTGCTTCTGTATCAATGATCCAAGGAGTATCACACGTTTGAGCCAGTTGAGAGTCAGTATTACCTGCCATTATTAGCTTGCAAATTCTTCTCCCTTGTCCTGATTCAATAGCTTCATTATCTGGTTGTACTGCTCATTAGTGAAATAGTTGTGCATTCCTTGTTTTGCCACATTAGAATCTGCAGTTGTGGCGGCTTGGAACACATCATCCTTAGCATGAAATCCATCACCTATGGCTGCATTAGCTTGTCGATACTCCTGCTTCTTCTTTCCCTTGAAACCAGGTGGATAGCCCACCAATTTGTAACAAGTATCTTTAGTGTGACCCTTGGTTCTGCAATACTCACAATATAAATTTCCATACCTTTCGAACTTCTGTGAATTATCTCTTGAACTCATTAAAGCAGTAGAATCATTCACCTCATTCATAGGTGTATTGGTCATATAGACCTTCCTTTGATTCTCTTCATTAATCAACATAGCATAAGCACGACTCACACTTGGTGATGGTGACATGAACAGCATCTGACTTCTAATGGCACTAAAGCTATCGTTTAATCCCATCAAAAATTGAAAAATTTTTTGTTGTTCTAGATGTGTTATGAATTCTCTTATTTCAAGAATCACAGGCAGAGTTGGAATAAGTGCACTATATTCATCCCATAACAGCTTAAGTCTAGAATGATAAGCAGTGATACTGGAAGTACCTTGAGAGACTGTAGCAATTTCTCGTTGAAGATTATAGATCCTTGATCCATTGATCTTGTCAAAACGATCCTGCAAATCAGTCCAAACTTCATGAGCATTGCTGGCATATACTATCCCGTTCACCAACTCCGGCGAGACAGTTTTCATGATCCAAGTCAAAACTATAGCATTAACACGTTCCCAATCCTCGCCAAGATCAGCAGTGAATTGATCCTTGGTGCATGTACCATTTATGAAGCTTCTGGATCAGTTGTAACTTCTGTGTATTGAGAGGAAAAACAAATCTGATTACAAGTGAAGTGAGTCTTCACTGATATATACACGTGTATATATATATATATACAACTAACTATCTCTATTTAATTACCACTAACAACCATCCTAATTCTGTTATAACTAACTATTAACAGCTAACTACCAATAAGCTAAAGTTACTTCTTGTCACCTATCACATAGCCTTAGTTTCCAGCTGTCATTGCAGCACTTCAACAGATTCCCCTTAACTTTTCGATGTATCTAATTATTTATATTTTGACACCCCTTAATGAAAATTTTGACTCCGCTACTGCTCACACCACAAGTGTCGATTTCAATTCTCGCTTTTTCCTTCTCTTTTCCTTGATCTTGCTATTTAGTAATTATAGATTTTTTTTTTGTTTTTTGAGAAAAACGGATTCTAAAGCACGGACACTAAGCATATGAAATATCTTTAGTGGGAGAATTGTTCAATATGCATGTCATCAGTCATTACTAATTCTTTCTAAAACCATCATGTGAAAAAAATCAGATTGTTTTTTCTTGTGACATATTTAAAAGGTCTCTCAGCTAATGAGATGCCAAAAGACGTTAATACGACTTGGACACTTTTCCTCATTTTCGCGAATCATTTGGAAAAGCTAGTTCAGCAACATCTGGAGAATTTTTCCATTTAGATCATATTGTAGGCTAAGAAATTGCCACATCTCGTGGGAATCAACTGCTTGGTTAAAGGGGCTATAGAAGAATTCTTGGAGGTGGAGCCAAGTTTTAATGTTTAGGAATTCTGATTTTGCTACTGAATTCATATATAGCTCAACTTTGTTATTGGATACGTAATTAGATATTTATATATTTAATAAATTTTTTAATACAAATATAGGATTTAAGCAAAAACTACTAGATTAATCCCAACACGTACATAATAATATTGTAGCTCCAACCCTGACAATTCCTAAATGTGCGCATGACATACTAAATCTAAATTGTAAATTATTTGTAATATAATCAACGTATTTGAAATGAATTTAGCTTATCTATAAGTCTGAGGAACTGTCGGTTAATAAGAGGAATAATACATAATTACTCCATTGAGGCTGTCTCACTTTTGCACCCTAAAACTTTACAGGTGTCCTATGACCCCATTGTGTTTTTTCGAAGTGTAACATAAATACCACCTTTCGTGACCTGCATCGCTTTTCACCAAAATAATATATGACACGCACCAATCATATTTTGACACGTATTTTTCATATTTAACTGTTTATATTTTCTTTTTATTCATTATTTATTTTAGAATTATCTTTTATTTTCCTTTTCTTTCTTGTTTTCTTTTTCCTTTTTTTTTTCTTTTTTTCTTTTCTTCTTCTTGGTCACATTGCCACAACAAGCCATTTTCTTTTCTCATCTTCACCACTGCAGATTGCTTATACTCAATTTTTTCCTTCAAAATTTCTTACACGTAATTTAATGTACCAATTTTAATAAATTGTAGTATAATAAATTTTCTAATATAAATTTAGGGTTTATGCAAAAGCTGCTAGGTTAATCCCAACACGTACGTAATATTGTACCTCCAACCCTGACAATTCCTAAATGCGCATGTCATACTAAAACTGAATGGTAAATTATTTGTAATCTAACCAACGTAATTTAAATGAATTTAGCTTATATATGTGTGTAATTTTTATTATACTACTATTATGAGTAGTTACCTGTGCGAGAAACTCTGTTAATAAGATGATCACGATTCCCCATCATGAGCATGCATGAGTAGGAGTTTCTGGTTAAATTGGCAATATTACAATCATCTCCCTCGTAGAATAAGAATTATTTTTACTAACCTCCTCTCTTGCATGACCACTCAGTTAATGAAACTGTTAAATTTAAACAGATAGCAGAAATAATTTATATTCAGAAAATAGTCCCTCTATTCCACATTGTTTAACTTGATACTATTTTTAATAGTTTGTTCCCAAAAAGGGTACATTTCAATATTTTCTTAATGAGAGTATTTTATAGTCACCGAAATATTGTTGACATGTTTAAGATAGGGCCGTATCTATGTGTTGGAGCATAGGGCACAGGAACCCATGCTTCTATCTTTATACCATGTATAATAATATTATATTTCTTAAAAATTTTATAAATATACATGTGTGGACCCAAGTTCTAAGAGTCTCAATGATTGTTGGGTGCACCTTTACACAAGTGAAGTTAGAGGTTCATTATTGACATGTTTAGTTTTCCCTTTTGTGTTTTAGTTAAGTATTTTTTTTCTTTTTTTCTTTTTATTTGATTTATCCATTCAAAATCACCAAATTTAACACATTAAAATTCTTGATCTCCCTTTGTCATCGCAAAATTTTGTATAATTAAAAATAATAACAGTGGATGATGTAACATGGTTGTCACGACCCGGAATTTCCACCATCGGCACCGTGATGACGCTTAACATTTCACTTGCTAGGCAAGCCAATGCTAGAACAATCTACTACTTTTAACATTTTGAAACTGATATTAAAGAAGAACTGAGATAACTGAACAAATTTTGAAGTAACAATGCGGAAGTTGAACTAGCCAAATATCTATTGCAATTTCCCTGAACTTGGTGACACTAGTGCACGAACTACTAGAGAAATACACATAAGGGTTTGAAGTAAATAACAAGTTGTTCGAATGAAATTTCACAGCTAAATAAACAGAGGATGGGGACTCCAGGAGCTGCGGGCGCTGAACAGCCGTACCTCAAGTCTCCGCAAATATCCGATCCGAGCTCTCTAATAGCCGCCGTCGGGACAGTCTCCAAAATCTACACAGTGTGCAGAGCACAGTATCAATACAACCGATCCAATGTACTGGTATGTGCCGAGCCTGACCTCGATGAAGTAGTGACGAGGCTAAGGCGGGTCACCTACGCTAAAACCTGTACGCAGTATATAATAATGACAGAATAATTGAAATACAGTACAGAATTAAACAGCCAACAGGAAATAATAATCACAGCCTCGAAAATAAACCAGTGTCGTCTAAAATTACCAATCTCTACCAGCTCAAATAAAAATACCGGAAAGACAACGCAACTCAAAAAATAGAAACATATAGGTTGTTACGGCGTGCAACCCGATCCCACCAGACATCACATAATCCTCCCTTATACCACCAACATAATATCAATAACAATAAATAATATATATATATATGTTGCGGCGTGCAACCCGATCCCACTATATATCAATATCAATATCGTAATTCACCCTTATTTCACTATATCAATCCACCCTTATTACACCTGTTGCAGCGTGCAACTCGATCCCACCGTATATACATATTCACCCTTATTCCACCATATCAATCCTCCATTATTACACCTGCTGCGGCGTGCGGCCCGATCCCACCATATCAGTACCAAACAGTAAATGTACATAGTCAAATCAACAGGCTAAATCACAAGGCCTTTACGATAATTAAATACCAAGCTGAACCTAGAAAAGGAACCTTGTTCATTATAGAATCTACACAAATAATAATACACAGCGAGACCAAACAAGCAATTCATAGTTAAAAGGTACAAACAAGTCAAATTAAGCAAATAGCGGGATTGGGGGAACTATGAAGTGAGCTAACATAGTTAGTAGAAGAAGATATTGATTAACACGTAGCAGTTAAGCATGGAAAGCATCTAGAGCATATAACAATTAAGACAGGGAAGGATACAGTCAAGGTAAAGCAGTAATTCAGGGAAAACAGATAATTCGGCGGCATATAAGCACTCGTCACCTTGCCTATACGCCGCTCACATGGAATTCACATAACACAAAGTCCGAGGGTTCCTAATTCCCTCAAGTCAAGGTTAGACATAACACTCACCTCGCTCCAAAGGTCACTCAAAGCTCAATCACAGCTTTGCCTTTCAAAAAACCAACAATATCTAGAAAATTACCAACCAAACGTTACAAAATAAACCTTAGGAATCACCCACAATCGATAAGAATTCAATTTAGCCAATTATTGAAAAAGTCAACAAT